CACTGGGACACTGGGACACTGGGACACTGGGACACTGGGACAGAGCCAGGCTCCATATGTAGGACAGTGTCTGAACAGGGACAGAGTAAGTTTACTTCAGCAGTTATCACAGCTTCCATCAGACAAACAAGCAGCTCCTCACCTCTCACTTCCAGCCAGCTCTCATTCGACTCTCCGTCAGAAGGATGTTTACACTTGTAGAGACCTTCATCATAAGACTTGGACACATATGTTAGAGTCATCCTCCCCAGTTTCTCCTTCCCGATGAACTCTCCATTTTTGAAGAAACTAGTGGGGAAATCTGTCATGAGATTTTCATCAGCTTTCTTRTTGAAGGAACAGCGAAGCGTCACGTTATCTCCCTCTAAAACAGGATGCAGAGGACTCTCCAGGATCACACCATGAGCTGAAATGCAGATAAACTTCAGTTTTACATAATAATATTTTTATTTCTATCTGCAAGCTGCATGATGATTACCGATTACAGTAATGTTGACTTTGTTGGTGCTCTCCCCGCTGTGAGACTCACACCAGTACGTCCCAGTGTCTGCTGGGAAAGCATCTYCAATGGTGCAGGAGGACTCTTCTGGAATTCCCCAGCCACGCTCACATTTCTGCACCATGTTCTTAACCATCCTCTTCACCACCCAGCCGCTCGAGTTGGCCACACATTTCAGAGAGACGTAGTCATATTTGAAGAACTGGGATTTGTCGGGAGAGACCGTCAGAGTGGCTGCATGTGGGGTGAGCAGATCCCGCAAAACTGAATGTGGGACAATAAAATATGCTTATGAGGAACAATGTGGGACACGTGACTAATATGATATCAAAAACAGTGAATGTAGGAGCAGAACAGCTGGCCTGTAGGACTGAGCTGCACCTAACACTGCTGGTCTCTTCTGTTTTTATCTGGCAGTCTGGTAATCAGCTTTCTGAGCTGTGGGTTTCTTGTTTTCAAAACAGCAGATTCATGAAATTGGTAAGCCAGAAGCCTATGTTTAGCAAATCTGTGGCAAATACTGCATGTAAAGAGTGACACTTTTTCTTTTGCTCGGAAAAAAACTTTGAGAAAACAGAAGTAGGACGCAAAGCTTACTACAACCAGAAAGTCTTACATGATGAACTTCAAACAGACAGAACAGATCAAAAGATAAATTTGTCTCCAAAAAATCTCAGRGTGAATTAATTATTAAATGGATCAACATGTTGGTTTAATTGTTTTTTTAAAATAAATTTGTGTATCATTTTGTAAAACAAATAAAAACAGATCACTGAGTGCACCGAAAGTTCAGGAGTAGCTAAATATGCAGTGTTTTTCTGAATAAAAAAAAAACAGATAAATGGAAGAAAACAAACAAACAAGGAATTCATTCACAGATTATGAATGAAACTGTACTGTGAATACAGTCAGATATGGTAACATTTTACACACTCTTATTAGGTGAACATAGGATATGTTTTGGAAGTCCTATTTACAACCCCAATTCTGAAAAAAGTCTGAATAATTTGTAAAGTGCAAAAACCAGAGTGCAATGATTTGCATTTCTAATAAASCCACATTTTATTTACAATAAAACATAGTAAGTTTTTTTTGTATCAACAAACCTTAAAAATGTTTGCCCACTGGTGCAAACTGCTGTGAAAGGATGTGGCATGAATAAACAGCTGGAGGAGCCTTTAGTGTCCATCCATCTATTTTCTTTACCTACTTTTCATCAGAATAATGTTCCTGAACTGAAAATTAGGACAACTGAATCATTTTCAGTTCACAGAGTAAATATTTTCAATAAAGAACATTACTTACAGAGAACGAGGCAGATTGAGGTGAACTCCATCCTGTTGTGTTCCTGTTGTGATGTTGTACAGCCTGTCTGTGTCTGTGGCCGTGGCTATAAATCTCACTTTGCCCAAACACAGGAAGTCAGAATACAATGGTTAAAAAAAAAGAATGATGACAACATTTTTGCTGGTTTTTATAAAAGTTTTTCATTCATTTCATTTATTATATTCAGGTCAGACTAATATAAATTTCAAGTGCATAACCTTTTACAGAAACTTCACAAACATTCAGCCAGACTGTATCATGTAAAACATTTTTGTTTTCCATTTGAGCTGAAAACCACAGACTCAAACATCACAGTTAAAATAAAAAAAAATGTTGCTCATTTCTCAGAAACAGGAAATGAGCTACATAGCTCAGACAGAAGTATTAGTAACTCTGAAGAAAGTTTAAACCTAAATTTAACTCTTCGTTCTCTCATATGCTACCTGTTCCCWGCCGTACAGGGACGTGCACAGATAAATGTCAGGTGGTGCTCGAGCTTTTTCCTTCTGAACCGTGAAAACAGTGCGACCATTAAAGGCACAGTGTGTAGGATGTTGTCAATTCTTTTAGCCGAAATTGAGATAATCACTAATGACAATAATAAAAACATGTCTAATCATTGCAGACAAAGACCTTGTTTTATTATTTTTACCTTATAAAAAGCTGTTTATATCTCCATGGTCGCGGGTCGCCACTACAGGCAGCCAGTGTGGTTGCCCACATTCTTTTTTTTTCAGCTCATGGAC